ACACCAACAAATGAGTACTAAATAACTGATACTAAAAACTCAAAATTACGAACTACACATTTTAATGACGAACAAGAACATACACAAAATATAAACACTACAACCGCACTACTTTTTGAAACAACATTTTAAAGCGAACTGAGGGAAAAGAACAGCTGTCCTATAGCTACATCTATTGCTTAATATCATTAACACCAACTATTCAGGGTTTAATTGTTAGTGCTATCAATTTCCTCAGGGTTTTTAAAATTCCACTTATTTATCAGTTAATATTATTTTATACTTAAATTTCTAATCCCCCATTTAAAAAATCACTTTTTTTAATGCGCTCAATTTATGCAAATCATTATGTCCATTTTTAGCAGTTATAGCTGTTGATTTCCTCATGGTTTTTACATTTGAGTAACCCCATCATCGATCTTTATTTCGTGCTACAGATTTCAAGATTTTTTTTCGTTAATGTGATAATGATTAACAAAATGCGAAAAAGGAAATAAATAGTGCATTTTTCTCCCAACAATATGCAAGAATATCGTTCATATTAAAATAGAAACAATATATTATGCGTACTCAATTAAAAATTATATAGAATTTTTTTTCTTTTTTTAAACACTGCACTTCCGTTACTTTAAATTAGTAACATATATATTTGTTATTATTAAAATCTTGTAGAATCTTGTCTTATTGTCTCTTGTCTTATGTAAATCTTGTCTTATTTTATCTTGTAGAAAGGCATCAGTGCTAGAGAATGTTTTTTTCCACTATAACCTTAATCCCAAAATCAAATTTTGAGCTTCTCTGAATAAATATTTTTGTGAGCATTGAAAATTTGTTACTCTAAATCATCATCTTCATTTAAGTATCTTCAAATAAGTGTTAAGATTTTCTTTTTCAAGAAAATGAAGCTCTTTTTATATTACTTTTGAATAGATACATTTTTGTCAAATTTTGACACATTTGATGATGCATCTATTGGTTGAATTGAAATTAATTAGAATAAGATAGTGCTTTAGTTCTTGACAGAAGTCTTTTTTAATTGCTTAAATAAGTGTACTTTATTGCAATTCTAGGCCGGGATATCCTGTTTGGTAGGGCGCTGGACTCTTGTTCGGGAGAACGTTAGTTAGAAACCTGCCGGTCGAAAACTCCCTCTGTAGTAAATGGTGACTAGTGCATGCTAAATCAGTCTGGTCACAAAGTCCTCCAGGTTTCCATAACAAATTATACCTCTGGGGGTACTGAATAAGAGCTTAATCATTCTCTGGTTTAGGTCCAAATTGCGATCCATGATTGAATGAATGGGTCCGCCCTATAAATGGGTGTGGCAGGAGTAAAATTCTTGGCCATAGATGGAGATGCTGGAAAACAAGAATAATCACTCCCCTTGCCTTAAATGGCTGACGACAACAACTACATAGCAGTACTATATTATGGATTGGGTAAATACCCACCCAGTGGGTAGTGTCCCTGCTTTGTGTATATAACCAAAATCAGGACTTTATAAATTTTTTTGTTCTTTTTAAACATGATTTGTCTTGCTTATAGTTCTAAAAATAATCTAACTATCTTTAATTTTCAAAAAATAAACTTTAAATTAAGCATATTTCAGTTCCAGAAGAAAACATTTCATAAAACTCTAAATAACTAGTGGAAAAGCTACATTGTTGCATTAAAAAAGTAATATAAAAAAGCTTGCATTGTGTAAAATAGTAAAGTAGGAATTCCTGAGACTGAATTCTTCCAGGCTTTCTGCGACATACCTCTCTAATACAAGTAACTTTCTGCAAGATACTCAAAAATAACAAATATGCATGCACCTAGTTTAAAGTAACAGAAGCGTTAATTTCAATAAATAAATGAAAAATCTGATCAAATAAAGTAATTTTTTTAATTTAATATGTAATATTTTTTTAATTTTAATATTAAGGCGATATTCTCGCATTTTGTAGGAAGATAACACACTAATTATTTCCTGTTTGCATTTTGTATATTTAATTCCTTTTCGCATTTTGTAATTCATCACATTAAAAAAATTTTTAAAAATAATTAAATCTGCAGCGGTACGTATCGGAAAAAAAGATCAACGACCAAATCATGTGAATTGTACTGTTTAAAGAGGGGTTACTAAATGCGTGTTTTCATTTCGGGATTCAGTTGTAATAAATAATATCGTATTAAAATATGGGATTTTAAAATCTATGTGGAAATCAGTAGCAATAACTGCATGAAAGCATAGAAAGAAAATTTCTACAGAAAAGAATGCCAAATTTTTTACTTCATTATCCTTTATTTTTCATTATTCTCAAATGAGAATAGAAAAATCACAAGCAGTTTTTTTCAACTCCGATGTGCAAGACAGGCTTAGTTGAATATAATTCTGTAGAAAAGATAAATTCTTTTAACAATTTCTGCAGGAAAGAAAAGCAAAAATTTTTAACTCCCAAAGGAAAAATCTTTCTGCAAGAATTTGGTAGCATTCTGCGTCAATGTCGCTATATCGCCATGATTCTGCCATGGGGTAGAAATTATATTATTCATTTAAGTTCAAGGTTGCGCATTTTTTCCAATGCATTGGGATAAATTGAATTAAATGGAGGATATTCTAAATAAGCACAGAGAATACGTTTAAAATTTGTAAAATTTGTTGAAACTAAGCTTTAAACTGTTTTTTTTTTCATTCATATTGAGTTTGCAAATTGAATATGAGCTGAAAACTAGAACAATAAATTTCCTATCTAAACATAAAAGAAAAATTATTCATAAAAATATTTCGTTTAAACCAAACTAGTATCTTTTAAGAAAATTTAATTAGTTCAAAAAATTTCGATGTTTTATTTAAATAGTTTTTTTTCTGTATGGATTCTATTTTATAAAAATAGTTTAATTTTTAAAAATCTGTCATCTTTAAAATTTCAAAATTTCCTTTTAGTCAAAAGAAATAATGAATTATTCCATTTAATTTATTAAATTTTTTTTAAAACTATGAGCTAACAATGTTTCATCTTAAAAATACTTGATATTTAAACAAAAGGTAGTCTCATCTTTTAAAGTATTATGTATTGTTTTCTCTTCTGTATAAAAAAACATATAATTCAGTTATATTTTCAATTGTTGTGCCATTCTAATATTGTTCCGAGTTTTTTATTAAATTTAAATATTATGATATGTATTAAGTTTGTAATATGAAACATTTCATAAGTTTTTGAAAATAAGTTTTGTCAATACAAAAATTTATTTAAGTATAAGAAGAAAAACAGCTATATATCTCAATTATTTATATTTTAGTTTAATAAATAAAATTTTATTTATCTATTTATTTACATAATACAGTTAAGGAAGATAAACTTTATGAAAGTTATCAAGTATTATTTTATACTTATACCAATTAAGAGTAATATTTAATTAAAATAAAATGTATTTCAATAATTATTTATTTTCATGACTTTGTTATATGCATTTTTACTTTATATGTCCTAATCAGGCTGAAGTTTACGGAAAAACATTTCTTTCAACTGAAAACAATCAATGATATATATGTAACTAAGAAAAAATATTAATTAAATACTCTTTTGTTTCATTCTTTTAAGAATTAGAAATAGAATGATAAAATTAAATATGTATTTTATTTGTTTTATTGTTTAACGTAAGAAATAAACTATATAAATCCTTGCTTGCTCAATAAATTAAACTTGCAATTTTAAATGGGAAAAACGTATATGTCCCATAGAGAAAGAAGCTTCCTAAACTCATTTAAACTTAGCATACAAAGATACTGCCTAGCTATCATATATTTTATACCCCTTTGAAAATAATTCAAATATTATGCTATCTTTCTCAATTCATTATTAATGAAATTAAAACTCAAAATAACACATAATTGTTATTCGGAAAGACATCATTACATAACAATAAAATTTGGATCAAATAAGAAATAATGTACTATTTATATGCAAGAAAAGTTTCCTATGATAAACTTTTAAAAATAAATTACATAAAACTTGAATAATTTTTTCACAAAATTTTCCTTGTTTAGATGATACTTTTAAAAACCAAAAATGCTGAGAATTATGATTAGAAATGTGACTTTAAAGAGGAATAAACCATAACTGCTCTCAAATAAAGGAAATTAAAAAAATAAAGATTTTAATTAACATTTTCAATTGAATGAATTTTTCTTCACAGTAAATGATGAATTAAGTAAGTATTGACAATGTAAGCAAAATTTAATTGTGTCTGAAATACATATGATTTTGTATAAAGAAAATTCTAATTATTGAATTTTCAATAAAATTGATAAATACCCAAGCATTTAGAAATTTTGGGTATTTACCCCAAGTTAAAAAAATCTGGCTATTTTACATCTATACTTAGGAAGATACATCGCTGAAGTCCATATTTTCGACAAAAACAAGGAATATTTTGTTAACAAAATATACAATTGTAGTTTAATCTAATATCATTTTGCCAATTTTTTAATCATAACAAATTGTGAATGATTACCTGGAATTTTAAACTAATATGAAAAAAAAATTCATTTACAAAGTAATTTCAGATATACAAATTGTTTGACTCAATAGGAAGAAATTATAGCGAAGTAATTTTGCTCTTTCACAAGACTTTTAACGGTTCAAAATAGGAAACAGTTACTATCCCTCTTGTATTAAGTTTTTATTTTTAAAAATTTCAATATAAATAGTAAAATTTATTAATGGCAGCATCTTCTCTCCCTCTCTATCTCTCTCTCTTTTTTGGTATTTTTAGCATTAACTGAAGCATGAGCTTATAAAATAAAGATCTCAATGAAGAAAATACATTTTTCAACATTAATGGATAAATAGTCAGTATTTAAAACTAAAAAAGTGAGAAAAATGTCAAATGAAGTAGTTAAAACTGAAGCAACTTTATAAAAAATTGCAATTTCAAAAGAAAAAAAAAGTTGCTTCAGGTAACAAGGTTTTTTAATTTACTAGTTCCTAAAATATTGCAATTTTTCTTTTTAGGTCATTTTTACCTTTTATTAAAGATGTTATATTTTTTTGCTTGAATGATTCTCAACCAAGCCTTCAATATTATGGAATCAAAGTAATATATTTTAAGTTTTTTGAATGTAATACCATATTTTTCGGTGAAGGTGCCGCATGTCGATAAAATTGAAATTTTTGAAAAAGAATTGATAGTAAGCGCCGCAGTGGCGCTAAGCCGCTCATATCAGCATCCTTATTGAAGAGACCTTTAAATTACCATTTAGAAAATCTGTATAATATAGAATTTAATTTTTTTATACATTTCAGTCATATTCTCTTTTTATTTGGAATTTTATTCTGTTCAAGTAAGTAACTTTATTTTATCTTTTAAAAATAAAAAAAAGCTTGAAAAAAGATAATAAATTTGTGTCAAAGGAAACATCTGTTTCTAAAGCAGTTTAAAATAAAGTTAGAAGTAAAAACGCCTGCCTTTGCAATGAACAAAATAAAGAAATGCAAGTTTGAAGAAACTGATCAATCAATCTTGACAGCTGTACAAGTGCTTTACTGGTTTGTCCCCACACTTCCCTCCTCTGTTTGACCATAAATTGGTCACACCCAGTTGACATTGAAACTACCATGTGGACTAAAAAATGAATTCTATCCATTTTGCGGTTTTTTATTCGATTCATTAATTTTTTTTATTTTGCCACGTTTTTATTAGTTATTAACTGTTAATTTTTTTTTTTGCTAATAGTTAGCTTGTTTTTTTGTTATTAGTTGTTAGCTTGTTTTTATCGTTATTAGTTTTTAGCTTATTTTTTGTTGTTATTCATTGTTCCTTAGCATTAATTGTTACTTTTTTTTATAGTTCCTTGTTAGCTTTTTTTTTTTCTAGCAAGGTCTAAAAAGAAAAAAACTAGAACTATGATCTTGCTCCGAAGAAGAAACTATTATTTTTTCTTCAGAGGTATCAGATTATTTCTTCTTGATTATATTATACAGATTATTATTTTAATTAATAAAATTTCTTAAGATGGGCCAGTTTTAAATTCATCCCATCATAGTCTACGATCAAAACTTAACTAAATTTATTGGTTTTTCTGAAATTAACAGTGTAGTTGAATTATAGTAATATTTGGGCTCCAAATTGGAATTTCCGAAGTTTGGCATTTCGTCAGTCCCGTGAGTGTTGGATTTGGGATCCTATTACTTCCTTTTGTCTTCGCTCCAAATACAATTGCTAAGGCGCTAAGCAGATTTCTAGCTTGCGATTTTTCTTTAAGCTGGGGTTGGATACAAGATGCATACCTTTTAAATTTTCTCCTTATGCGATGTTTTTTTAAAATTATTATTTCCTTTATTTATTTTCTTGCAGGCTGCTGCCGAAAGTTTACTAAGAATTGGCAGCAGATCGCGATACAGGCGAATATTTCGTCGACTTCGTTATTAATTTTTTTAATAGTCTTTCTCTCAGCCAATTATTTAATCTTAAACAACTTTCCTTGATAAATGTTTTTGCTACTAAAAATATTTCGTCAGAAGCGCCGCATGTAGGAAGAAATTTTTTTTTTATAGTGCTGCGGCTCTTTCGCCGAAAAATACGGTAATAAAAAAATATATAAATATTCGTTGCAATATAAAACATTGTAAAATGATATTTTTTGTTTGCTTTATAGCTTGTTGATGTTATTGGTCGCTGCACTAATGATGTATCTAATTTAGAAGAAAGTATAAGTTTGTTAGTAAGTATCTATTTTCAAATTTACTTCTTTTTATACAATGCAGTGAAACTTTAAAAATTATTTATCTCTTATTTTTATTTTAGTTATATTGTTACAGGTCATTTTTCAAGAACACTTTTTAAAATCTAACATTAATTTCACCTTAAAGCTAAAATTTTTTTGTTTAATTTGATTTATTTTTCCTTTTGGTTCATTTAAAGTATGGAGAAATGTTTTTTACTCCATATGTTTTAGACTTTTTATTTGTTGTCAAGATGTAGTTTGTCTAAAGTAAGAACTCCCCTAGCCATTCGTTTGATGACTATGGTAACAAGATATAACTATTTCAAGTAGGGGTATGGAGTCATTGCTTAAGACAGGTGTCTGCAAGAGAAAGGTAATTTTTTCTTCGGTCTTCTGTGCTATCCCTAGAGTAAAAAGAAGCCACCCTCCCTGAAATGCGCTATTCTGGTTTCCATAGTAATAGACAGCCTCAGACTTTGTGGCGGGGGGAGTTATTACTGTAGACAAACTATACATGATTTCAGCCAACTAATATAAGCCAGATTTAATAAACATTTGGTTTAATATGACTTCTTTATTTTCAGTCTTCCGAAATTTTTTTAAATGCAGTGACAAAACCTTTGATAACATGTTTGACCAATGAAGAGCAGAAACATTTACAAGCATCTGTTTGTGATTGCCTTTCTACCCTGCCTGCCAAGGATTTTGCTTTGTTAGATGTGAGTATGAAATATTTTTGCAAAAAGATTTTTAAGACCTTATTGGAGTGTGGATACAATCATTATAGGGTGATGATAAAATATTGACATTATTCGTTAGTTCTATGAATCCTTGATTTTCCAAACCTTTTTCAATAATTATATTTAACTACTGATAGTTGACAACAGTCATAGGTATTCTATCAAAGTTGCTTGAATATTTCATAGAAAAAATAATTGAAAATTAGAAAAAGAATGTATTGTAAGCAAGAATCATTTTTAATATTATCAATTTTCAATGAAATAATATAGTCTGAAGCTATCATGCCTTTTTATTGAACAGTAAACCTAAACCAAATCTTTTTTTTTCTTTATGTAATTTTCTTTTGACCCTAAATTAGTCAAATTTATAATCTTAATTGAAAATAAGTATTTTTAAAGCAGATAAATCTTTAGATATAATTTTTTTTTGTCGCAAAATTTTAACTAAGAGCAATGAAAAAAAAACTGAGGGAAAGAAAGAATTTTTAAAAATAAAATCTCAATAGAATAAAAAATAGAAGTGTTTTAATTTAGTCAAATTTAGTTCAAATTATTTTAATTCTGTCAAAATGTTTCAATTATTTAGTGACAATGTTGCTTTTTGTGTTATTTAATTAAAAGATTTTATCAACTTTTAAAGTTTGTTTCGATTTTGATTGTGATTTTCCTCAATTTAGAATAACACCTACAAAGTAATTGTTCCTATCTTATCAGTTCAGCTGCAGTGAAATAACATCATTAAAAAAATTTTTGTAAAATTGTTTTCATAAAATAATAGTTCATTTAAAAACATAGGGTCAGACCTCTATTTAACAAAGTCGCTAAATCCCAATAAAAAGTTCTTTATATGAAAAATTCGTTAAATAGAAAATCACCATTCGAAATACTTTAACAACACAAAACAAGTTTTAAATTCATAAACACAAGACATAATTAAAATAGCAATTGATAAGCTTTTATCTTGTAAATTATCTACTATCATTTCAAATGATTTTAGCATTTCATTTGGTGATTTCTGACTTCATCTTCTTTGTCTCCTTTTGCAATTTATTGCTGTATTGTTTTAATTTTCCACAGTGTCCAAAATATCCGATTCAGTTAATATTTCTGTGGTTGCAGCTTCAGAATCAATAAAAAGAAAATCATTACACAGTACATCATTAATTTCGTGGTTCTTTCTTATTTGTACCCACATTTTTTTAAGTTATTCTAAACGATTATCATCCTCCACACTTTCCAAATTCTCCTCTCTGACTAAGAATCCAGCTTTAGCAAAACTTTTACGAAAAGTACAGTCTGTAACATCATAGTTCCATGCTTTAGAAATTTCTGGCATGGATTCCTGTGTGAAATGCAAGCAAAAAGGGAAAGGGATTTTACCCCTTTATCTAAAAGTTAAGTACGACTGTATTTTAATCTTATTTTTCCTATTTTATCTTTATTTACTTTTATTTCACAGAATAGTATATGGGTAAATAATCATTTAAAATAATACACCAATGTGATGACAGTCTAATGTTTTTTCCTCATCCTTAAAAATAAGTTAGAGATTATGAACTCAGGGGCATTGAGATGGGCTGTGACGTTCTTTTTCATTATTTGGCAAAATTTTTTTGGCTATTCGGCATATTTATGAAAATTCATTTTCCCACATTTTATTTCAAACACCAATAAAACTATTAAGTATTACAACTTTATTTGACTTTTTCGCTGAAGAAAAAGAAGAATGCATAATTATTGTTTAAGTTATCTATTTTTAAATTCTTACATGTCCTTCAACAAATCTTGGCCAGTGAAAAGCATAGTGTTCCTATTTCCCAATGCAAAGAAGCCAGCTTCTTCATCAAAAATACCGATTCAAAAATTCCTAAAAATGAAAAATTCAAAATGAACAACAATGAATAGATAAATACAGTTTTATAGGCAAACATTGCGTAAAGTTAAATAAAGGTTTTTTGAGGAAGCTTATCTAAATTTTTAAATACATAAAAATATTCTATGAAAAGACTGTGTAAACAATACCAAATTGAATGTTCATTTTATGTTCATTATCATACTATAACATTATGTCAAGATAAGATCCCCACCGTCCCCTCTTCAGAAGTTATTACCAAGATTGCTTCTCACTCTCATAACTAAAAAAATTATTGAATCAAATATTATTTATAAACGTTGTTGAACAGCCGACCCAATTTTTGGGTTTATGACTGCGGTGTAACGTCCCTTTTCTGGAAGGGGACGCTTCTCCTCTGGAATGCAGGAAAAGAGGGAGATTTGTTTTCGAAAGAGCACAACTGAGTCCCCTCTCCCCCTTCTTTTCTATGCAGCTGGCTAGTAAAAGAGGTATTTCCTAGAATCTTTTTACTAGAGTGTTAGGGAAAGAAGAAATACTGTGAAAAAGGGTATACGCTGCAAACGTTAACATAGACAGGGAGTCACTTTCAGTCATGCAAGAAAAAATAAAGAGAGCCCAATCGGCATGCTGCTCCTTTATGCTTGATTGATAGCCAATGGTCAGAAAGAAAATAAGAATTTCTCACTTCCCCGCCCTCAACTTGAATGACAAATAAGGAGGATATTAATTTTTCTCCTCCACCTCCAAGGTGGGTACCTTAATGAATGACGAGAATTTCCCCTTCTTACTTGAATCGTTCTAGTTCAAAATGACGGAGAGAGCAATTAATATTTTCATAACTGTCAAATTTTTTTTCTTTTCTATATTTTAACTAATAATTATTTTTTTTCTAATATTTTGATTTTGATTGATTAGATATAATTCTAATACTAAAACATTATTGCCCAAAATATAATGTTTATTTATTTTTTGCTTCTTAGATTCAGATCGTTTTAGGCTTTGTTTGCCATGAAGATCTATTATACGGAAAAATCTAACAAGTCCCACCTAATCCGGATACGTAACTTTTCTATTTGTATCCAGATCACGACTACTATTTTGTTCAACTCTGTAGCCTTGTAATTTTGAACCCAATCCAAAAGACAATGAAACCCCTGGACCAAGTATTGGGAGAAATTTGCCTTCGTGGTGGAACTAACTCACCTTTGATTTACATGGAGAGAAAAACCTCCCATGGTTAGCCTGTTGGCTAGGGGATTCTGAACTCATGATCCGTCTACCACTGAGAATATTTAATTAAATTGCTTTAGAAATACAAATACGTTAATTACGGCTTTTGTTGGAGATTTGTTGTATGGTTTTTGTTGTTTTGCTGAATCATGGTTTTTGTTGAAAAGAAAATGAAAAAGAACCGCTATAATAAACATTGTGAATGGTAATCAAGAAAGCACATTTATTTATTGTTGATTTTTTATTTTAATTTTGAAATGATAAGTTCTATATGGGAAATACTAATGCAATGTTTTATAAATGCATGTCCTATTCTTAATTTATTCAATGTATTAACAAAAGAAAGTTTATTTTTTTCAAATTGTATTACCTTTTATTCACTTAGCACTTTATTTCAATGAAAATATCTGAAATGTGAATTAAATTATTGAATATAATTACAAATTTGAAAATTTGTTAAAAGAAAAATTCTAACAGTGTGAAGACTAGTGGTAATAATAAGTTATAATAAAATGTTTTTAATAAATTAAAACTGTACATTAGAATGTTAGAAAAAATGTTTATTAAATTTGGCAATTCATTGTTTCAAATATAATAGGTTCAGTTACACAGGTTTGATCATTCAGATAGCTCTACCAGGTTATTATATTGGTTTATGTATAAAACATTTTTTGAATATGTAATGTCTTGAAAATTTTTATAAGAGAAAAGTTTTGGAACAGTGGCTATTGGTCTGTGTCATCTTAACAATAATCATAAAAGAAGCAAATTACTAAAGTATGTAAAATAAAAACAACTTGTTTTGATCATGCTAAAATAAAATCTTAATGGTTTGAATATAATTAACATTTATGGCAGTTAAAGTTGCAAGATCAGACACACTTTTTCTGAATAAACTCCTCTTTTTTCAGCAAATATAGACCCTCAAAATGTGGGGTGCAATCATAAAAATTTAGTCCCAATGGAATAGGTGGTTGAAAGTTTGTTTATTTTCCTATTTGTCTGAAACTATTCATGCCTAAAAAAAAGAAGCAAAGGATTAAATAAATAATCCCAGAAAACTGAAGCAGTAAGATATTACCTGATTGCGGCAAAAATTGAGAATTTGAAGCATGTCGACTGTTATTTCCTATTTATATATTTTTGAAGTGAATGAAATTTTTGATTAGGTAATGGGTAACCTACCTAATTTGAAATGACAAAATAAAAGGATTCAAAATGCTTGAAAAGCTCTTGAGAAATTAAAAATACAGGTCTTTTAAATTTTAATTTCTCAGTAACTGTCTGATTTATATTGTTCAAAATTTAGTTTCCATGTAAAATATTTTGTTACGAAGTTAGTTTTGTTTATCTATTAGTTGTATAAAAAATAAATTGTTTTGTATTTTCTTTTAGTCTAGACTGCAGATTCTCTATGTTAGTATCCTCTTAGGTTTAACCTCTGATTCTAATGCAAATACTAGAGGTTCTGCCATCCGATGTTTGGGAATATTTTGTTTGTTTCCATCTTTGATTGAGGTATGCATTATTTAAAAACAGTTAATTCATAAATTTAAATTTCCTTTTTAATGTTTATATGAAATCACATTTTCGTATGTTAAAACTTATTAGTTCAAAGGATACTTATTAATTTTCCATTCGTGTTAAAGTTTCGGTTTGAAACTATTTTACAATTGATCTTCCTTTTATTTTGTTCTGTAAAGATGAACATTTTATGATTGGGGAAATTATTTTAAGAAGAAAAAAATATGTTAACCCCTTAATTTTATATTTATTTATATATTTTTAGGATGCATCCTTTTACGATGATTTGAGTAGAATTCTTGTCAAAACAGTGAATGATACAAATGTAAATGTGAGATTTAAAGCATCCTGGGCCCTGGGCAATCTCAGTGATGGTTTACTTTTGAAGAGGAGGTAACAATTTTTCTTTAGTCCAATTACATTGTTTCTCTTCATTGAAAATCTTATTCATGAGATTTTGAAAATCTTTTCAGAGATTTTGCCAATGAAATGTCAGCCGAGTTATTTTATTCAATCTGTATGGGATGCATTGAATACTCAAAAGATTGTGACAGAGTAAAAGCGAATGCTGTCAGAGCATTGGGAAACTTTTTGCTTTTCATACCTCGCCAATATTTAAGTAAGAAAATCAATGGATGGATGTGACAGTTTAGTGTATAATATTTCTGATTCAAATACTGAAATTGTTTGAAAATGTAGAGGAAATCTCTTAAAGTTTATATTTGAAATATCGTTTTGTTATGAGTCAAAATTAATTATCCCCTATAAAAACACATCATACTATTATTCATCAATCAAAAACTAGTTAATATTTTGACTTTTTTTAATTATCTAAAAATAATAATGAAAAAAGCTAGCCATTTTAAAACTTTAATAATCTTTTTTGTAACATCACTTTAAACACTTTTTTTTATTCAGGTGTTCACTTGCCTGGATAATAATAAGTAAAGTAAACATGTTCATGCACATAAATCAGACATCTGAAAATATTAGCATTAAAGTATATCTCATCTCCTGGAAAGTGCTGTATATTTTTGTTTTATAAGCATTTTTTTGTTGAAATTAATTTATTATATTGTGATGCCCCAGTAGGCATTACATATTTCTCAGCTTTTAAAATTTCTTTAATTTAAACATTTTTAATTACATTTTTATTAAATTAACCAATTATTTAATTTTTATCATATTTTATAAAAGCGAATATTAAATATTTTATTCTTTTCTTAACAATCAATGTAACGACTAACTCTTTTTTTTTTTTAATACTACAGTAATTTCCGGTAGATAGGCCGCAGCTTATATGGGTTATTCTCACTGAAAAGGTATAAATAGACTAAAAAAATTTATTAAATTAAAGTAATTAAAAAAGTTATAAAAACTACATAAATTCCTTTATTTTTGCTATATGTCCTTATAATAATGGTCAAGTTTTCTATTTTATTTTTTACTAGATTTAAAATATTTTAAATTCTGCCTTGTCCACGGAGGAGATGTAATAGTCAACGGAGGAGACATTTTATGTTATAAAATATAAAATGTCAATGAAGACTAATTTTTTAATTATTGGGTACAACTGATATGAGTTTAACATTAATAAGTAAATAATAAAATATTTCATTATTAGAGATACAACTACTTCCGATTAATCATGTTGCTATGAAAGGAAACATCAATTTTTAACCTAGGTGTACAATTTTATAAGTTACTCTTACTGAATATTAATAAATTAAAATGTAAAGACTATTGAAATAAAAATTCAGACTCCACATGAAAGTTGAGTATTGAGGGTACTCTTTTATGAACATTTTATGCAAGTTAAACTTACTATCATCCAAATAACGTTTTTGTTTTTTCTCTTTTCTTCTTGTTATTGTTTCTTTTTTCCCTGGGCACAAACGGCTTGCTCTATCAATTTCTAGAAATTTAAGTACAGTAGGGAACCGATTATCTGGAACGATCGGGACCATCGCTATTCCGGATAACTGATTTTTCCGGTTTTCTGAATCGCTACAAAAAGCCGTTTTTTTTATTGTTAAACCCACTAAAAAAATACTATTTGGAAATTATCTTAAAAAGAAGAAAAAACGAAGTAATACACTAATGATTATTTCCAAAATGATAGTAAGGTAAACATCTTTCCAAAAAGAAAGAAAAATCCTAAAATCTTATCAGGAAAAAAAAATAATAATTTCAAAAAATGGCAGGAAAATTTATCGAATTTCGTTCCGGTTTTCTGATTTACAGATAACGGATTCTGTACTGTACATTTAATCACAATTTTTCTGTAAAATCTTTTTCTGATACAGATTTCAAAGTTTCTTGCTCTTTTTTTTTTTTTCTTTCTTCAAACAATCTAGGGTTGGTTTTCTTTTAATTTCTGTCTAGCTTGTCTCATACTACGTTTTTTCTTGTTCCCTTCTCTTTTGCATTTGAACATTTGATTGCTTTCTTTTTTTACATTTTGGTTTTGCCATTTTTTTCCTGAAATTTGAAGAGAAAAAAAAATGTTAAACATCACAGAAATTATTTAGAAAAATTGCCAATATTTATTTCTCCGATAAGAAAAAGTTAAACTTGATTAATTTTCTTCAAAAATACAAACAAATTAACACATTTGTTCCATTTTAAAAAATATCAATTAAAAGAAAATAGTTTTTTAATTATTAAAATTGTATTATGGTTATCTAACACATTGTCTTTTCCATTGACTGTGTCTTTTCCTCCGTGGACTTGTTATGTCCATGGAGGAGACAAAAACTAGTTCTTGAATTTTTCTGATTTTTAATTTTAAAGTTACAGAAATGGGGCAGTTCTTTTTTTTTAAATATACTATTTTTGCAATCTAAAATTCATCTATCAAAAATAAAATAATTTTCTCTTACCTTCTTTATGATGTCCACGGAGTATACGGCGAGAACTTTGCTAAACCCCAGTTGAACACAACAATCGAAAACTGACACCAAAGAAAACAAAAACAACTGATAGTTAACATTATAAAATGAAATGGTTATCTTTCCCAGCAGCTGTCTTATAGGGATTTCGCATATGCTGCCCTTTATCGCATATTTACGGAACTATATTAATTGTCCATGGGGGGAGATTTCATTTTTGATGGACAAAGTTTGCTAGTCATTTATTTTATAAAAATAAATTTTTTTTAAAAAAATATTAAATAAAAAGTTACTATAAACATTTAACTAGGTAAAACTACAAAATTCATTAAAATAACATTTAAATTGTTTAACAGCCATTAAAAATTATTTTGTGTCACAGACGTAGGGACGTCCACGGAGGGGATTTTGAAGTTATGTTTATTAAAAAATAAGAATGAAATATTAAATACATTTAGCAGAAATGCGTATGATTTGTAAGTTAGAACTTCACGAAAAATGATGAAGAAAAATATTAAGAAATCTGCTGTATTTCCTAATATTTATTACTAAGGGACTTAAAAAATCACCTTTTTGTGAGAATGACCCATATGTGCTTAAAAGTTTTTGTGTCATGATGTGTGGCCTATACGAAATATTCATTTATCCCAAACCATATGTAATAATTATTCTATCACGGTGGATTTATTAAAAAACAGATGTTTATCAAAAATTTTCTGAAATTACGAACCTATTTCGCAATGTTTGCTCTGAAAACGTTTTTCTTTCTTATTTTTTTTCCATTCAAATTTAGTTTGATTAAAGAAGTTTTCGATTGACAAAATGACGTCATCTGCAAATGGTGTTACAAATTCAGATTTGTAACTTAAGAATATGTAAACTTAGTACGTTTAGTTTTTAACTTACTTTCTTCTTATCTATACTTTCTTTATAAATATTTTATTTTCAAATTATCCCAAAACTAGAAAGTAAACTTTTTTTGTTCTATGCATCGATCTGATTTCAGTAGATACTTCCAGTTTTATTTCCTTTTTATTTATTTTTCAACGCTGATTAAAAATTTCTGCCCCTTTTACGAGCCAATGCATTCAATATATAAGATATAGAAATTTTTAAAAAAAATAATAAATGCTTCTGCGTTAAATAAACGCTCCTATGAAAAAGAAATCATAGGAGTTTTGTTGGTTATGATGATAAAAACTTCTACTGTGCTGGTACCTGGTAAACATTCAAATTATAACCCATTTAGGTATTATAACATTTAAGAAGTAAAATCATACAATTTTTTGATATCACAAGATACCATTCTAACTCAAATTAATATGTAAATAAAAACAAATGTATTTATTTTTGAAACTAAATTTTAAGAAACATAAATTCAAGGTAGAGTGAGTGAACCTCTCCCAGCAAACACCGGAAAAAGTCAAATAAAGGAACACGAAAAAATATAAAGACAAATAAGTAGATTAGAATGTATTATGTAGAGAATGAATGCATGTATTATATGGATTATAAATGTATTATGTAGAATGATGAATGTATTAGGTAGATTAATGTAGAGAGCTCTTTGATGATACTACCTCATGTCGCATTAAAAATGATGCTCTCAATAATTTATTTTTAAGAGTTAAATTTTAAAAAAAAGCTATTTTAGAAAAATGAAACCTCATCTTTTAAACTCAAACTTTTTATGATATAATATTAAATGCAAACTTAAACAAAAAATATAATTGTTTATTTAAAATATTTGGTTAATTCTTTTTTACACAGATTTATGTTAGTTAGAATCATTTTTATAGACACTAAATTTTATGTCTTTTTATGACACCAACAGAAGTGGCATTTCCCTACCAAGAAAGTGACACTGACTAAAATTAAGGCCCTTTAATACACTTTTTATGTTGTCATTCTAATAAATCCAAATGCATTATACTAATATACAAAATCTTTGCATTTAGGTTCCCTCCAAATTCTAGAGTTGATTGGAAAAGCCTGTGAAACTTTATTGTGTGCTTTATCAGCCAATTTTATGAAAGTGTGTTGGAATGCTTGTTATGCATTAAAGAGCATGATGAGAAATGATAGTCTCTTGGAATTATCTGCTCTCATCAAAATGGTATTTCTCTTCTTTTTCCTTAACTGCTCTTTTCATACAAAATGAGCAGATATTTCAGGAGAGTGATATGGCATCTATTATACAGCAAGGACTCCCACGGCCCTTAAAAATACTTAATTTTGGTTAATCTCAATAGTTATTAAAAACAATGTTTTCAGTCTCACAAAAAATTTTTAAAAGTCATTCTTTTGCCCTTAAAATGAGTCTGTGCATTGAGGGTAGAGCATTTTGAAAGACAAGAAGAGGTGTGTAAGCAGCCTTAAGCAACAGAGAAAAAACATGACCTTTTATTATTGATATATAGGTATCTTCATTAATATATTCTTCTTTTTGCTTAGAATGAGACCACATGAGGAGAGTAGAGCATTCTGAAAGTAAAGAATAGAATGTGAAACAGAGGAATAATGCTCATGAATGAGATTAAGCTTCTTTTGCAAGGGGGGGACTGTTCTAAAATACTTAAGTATAATAACTACACTGTCAAGAGAAGTAAGAGTGTTGTACTAAATATCATCAATCATTCCCTTCCTCACCCCCTACATAGTTGTTTCTTTTCAATCATAGCTCAGTGAAAAAGGGTGACTCATTGAGCACCTGTTTTCTTATCATCTGGCCTTTAAGCAGGGGGAGTCATCATGTCTGTTGATTGCTTAGTTAAAGAGAGTTAAAACAAATAATTTTATTTGTCTTCTTTGATTCTCAGAAATCTCTGAAAGTACTCCCATACCTGCCAACTCTTCCGGTTTTCCCGGAAGATTTTATTTTCATATTTAAAGTGCTAGCGAAATTCATGTTATTTCACTAAACTTTTTGAATTATAATAATAATTTTAAATCAGTTTGACCACCACTGCATATAAATAATTACAACAAATATATAAAAGCATATTAGCCCTTTCGATAGTGAATTTCAACCTGATTAAAGTATAAATATATTTTTGAGGAAGATAGTTTTTCGGTAATTGTTTTACTACCACTTGGAATATCCATTCTCGAAAAGAGTGAATGTTGGCACTTATGCACTCCCTACAGGGATTGCAGAACTCCTATTTTTCCTATTATCTCTGTGGCCCTGCTTTTTTTCTTTAAATCTTGTTATTTCCTATTTTTCCTTATTTTTTAAAAAATTATCTGTCATTTCTGCTATTCCCCCTTTGAACACAGTGACAGCCAAAGAAAGGGGAATAATGACTCAAAGTCAAGTACAGTATAGGACCTAAAATCCAGCATTCACGGGACTGACGAAATGCCGCATTTCGGAATTTGACGAATTTCGGATCTCTTCCGGAAATTCCAATATTTCGCCCACCTAATACAATATTTCAATTATCTTGTTAATTTCGGAAAAATCAATAAATTTAGCAAAGTTACGATTGTAGATTCTGATGGGATGAATTTAATACTGTCCCATCATAGGAAATTTTAATAATTAAAATAATAAATTTCCTTACAGTAATTTCGCGGAGATGTGCCGCGGCGTTATTGATTTAAAACTTGAAAATCTAGTAGGAAGGCGTATCTAATGGGGCGGCCTATATAGTATTACTTTTTTTTTCTTCATTAAGAAATTTTGCTTTTTAGAAACCCCACTGGAAATTTCATCATAATTTTTTTCCACCTGTTACTGTGCTTTTATTATTTTTTTTTTCATGCTTAATGTTACTCCAAAGAATGGTCAGAGCACCTGGAATTTTCCCCTCCCCAATCCTTTCTTGGAATCACTTTCTGAAGACCATTACCCAAGTAGCACATAATATTATATAACATCAGAAAATTGGCAAAATCTAACGTTATCTTGCACAACTTCTAATATTAGAAAGATACAAGAGGTCGCTGTTTGCTCAGCCTTATATAATATTAGATTCTATACAAACTAATATTGTCTAGGGTTCGCCATAATATTATTTTGCATTAGTTTTGATGCTATATAATATTAGATTTTGAATTTTCTGATATTATTTTGCTTCGCTTTTTATTTTTTTGGAGTAAGCAAGAGGAAGATATGGATAGTAGTAGAATAATTCGGCGATATAATTTTACTTAATTTTCTGTATTGTTGTGAAGCAATAAAACATAGAACAATAGTTTTATGTCATTCCATGCATTATTTACTTAGCAATACAGAAATACTAAATAAAATTATATCAGTGAATTGTGCTACCTTCCATTTTTCTCCTTTTACTCCAAAGTATATCTTATGTTCAGCTGATTGCAACTTTTATTGTTGTTTTTTTTTATTTTTTATTCATACAATGGGTATTCTGACAAATTTTATATCATTAATAATTTTCAAGTCTATAATTTTAAAATGTACTCTTAATTTTTTTAAAAAAACTTGGCTTATTTTATCAAAATCTCAATTTAATTAGTTAGTTCGTAATAAATATATATATTTTAAATGTGTAACTTAAGCCATTTGTAATTTCACAATTATCATTCATTATTTATATTCTGAAATTATATAATAAAAACCACACTATATAATTATAAAGTTATATATTTACATTTGAACTGAGTGGAAATTTAAACTTAAAATTTTTTTCTTCTTATAATATTAAAATAAAATTGTTCAATTTTTAAGTTGTCATTTTTTGCAATAATTGACACAATAAAGAATTATCTTTCATTATTTATATTCTGAAATTATATAATAAAAACCACACTACATAATTATAAAGTTATATATTTACATTTGAAGTGAGTGGAAATTTAAACTTAATTTTTTTCCCTTTATAATATTAAAATTTTTCGATTTTTAAGTGGACATTTCTTGTAATAATTGGCACACATAAAGAACAAAATTTAAAAATATTCAAATTACTTACTTCAACAAATTTACACATATTTCTTCCCCTTCTCTTTTCACTGGAATTGCTAACAATCTTTGCAAAAAATTTACATAACATTTTAATTTCAAAACTGTCAGTAAATATTATGTGTTATCTAAATTAAATTTGCACAAACATATAATTGCATACAAGAATGAGACGAAAAAATAATAAATTTTTTTACATTATCTTTTAAAAGTTGCCTTTAGTATTAATGATCAAAATTTGACTACAATCAATTACTCTTTTGAGAAAGTTACTATAACAAAATGGATTTTTGATTAAGACAATTCCATTCCTCGTTTTTCTCTGAGTATATAGTATGTGTTATGAAGAATTAGCCTTAAAATATATATATATTATGCATTTAAAAAAGTTGCTTTTGCAAAGAACCTTATATATAAAAATTTAAGCAAGATTCTTCTCTGATTTAAATTTTCTGTTTTTTTACAATAATGTAAATAAATGTTCTGCTAAATCTTAAATATTAAGCCAAATAAATTTTTACTATTATCATTATTTTACAATTACATTAATTTAAACGTCATAAAAATATATATACACTTATCTCAAATTTGAACTGCAAAATTGAAGTAATAAATACAATGCTAGTAGTATAATTGCTCATAAGTTAGAGTTAATGTTTAACAATGATGTTAAAATAAAATTGCTTCTGATATCTTCAAAATTTCTCGAATTTTCATAATACTTAAACATAACTATAATGACTAGAATAAATTACACAATGCAGTAGTTAAGAATAAAAAAATAAATCAAATCAAATCATGACAAACATTTCACTACTTAATTATTTTATTTTAAAACAAAACACAATATAAATATAATTTCACTTAACTCTAAAAGCAATACATTCCTATTATCATTGTTTAATATAATCTTATCACTATTCTTTTGTTAAAATATAAATTAAGAACACGTATTTGTAATTAAATAAAATTATTTTTATTTTTATTTCAAAAAGCAATAGTAGGACCATGAGTTATCATTTTAATTATTATTATTTTTAAATTAAAAAAAATTCCAAAACTTTACAGTCATTTCATACAGTTTAAAGTTTTTCTTCAATTCAATTTTTTGTTTTTGTGCAACTGAACTATATTTCAGAGCAATAAACTGAAAATCTTTGCTTTGTGGAAAGATTTTATAAAATGGTCCACAACAGTTGCGCAGATCACACAAACACACAGCAAGGATGAATCGCACAGGGATGCACCTTTATTCAAACTTTCAGCTCCAGCAGATTTAAAGAGAACCTCCAGTCGTTTTGTTTTCTGTCAGGATCAAATATATGGCTCCCAGTTTTCTACCAGAATATTAATTTCCGTTTGCATTGTACAGCACCTAATCTCAAAAGTGAATGCCTCCTTCATGGTAGATAAGCTTGTTTATCCAGCAGACGAAGCTAAAATTATAAGAGAAAAAAGTTAACTTTACATTGAAAGCACTAAATTTAAATCTCTACATTACTTTATACTGAAAACATTAAATTAAAGTAAATTTAAAACTATTAAGCATTGAATATTTCTTTAAAATTTAAATCATTTCATTTGAAAATGTTTACAATTTAATGGGTAGATTTCCGTAACAATACCTGCAGCAAAAAATCTCAGTATCACCGAGCAAGAATAGAAAAAATTTTCACTAATAACCGCTTTCAAATAATAATTTTATTCTTTCGTAATTATTATTATTTTTTAAAAAAAGAAGAAAGCATAGTTCAATACGCTTAAGCCATTTTCAATTAAAGTAAATATTCAAGTATATATACAGATACAAAAATATATCAAATTCAATACTTTTTAATTTTTTTTAAAGATTAAGTACAATGACACCTAACTAATAAAATATTTTTGTACATTGTATAAGCTCATAGAGCCAATAGGAAATGTTCAAATTTTTTTAAAAACTTCATAAATAAAAATTTTAATACCTTTTAAGCACTGTTCTTCATTTAACGTAAACACACTTTGAATAGACCATATTGTTGCTTATTTTTTAACTATTTGCTATCATTTATAAATTAATATAATTAATCATACATCAAAAACATCTGTCTATATTCATGAAATGAAAATAAAGATATTTAACTCATCATTTTACAATATATTAAACAGGAAATTCAAATAATGTAAAATTGTAATGTAATGGAAAT